TTTGTTTTTAAATATTTTACTAAAATTGCTGTCTATTACATCAACTACTTTATGATGATGATTTTGCCAGTTAGGATATCTGATTCATAACACTTGGACTTGGGAAAGAAAGACCGTAACTATTTTCATTCATTGAGTCCTAGCTGGCAAATGTTCTATATTGACCTTAGTTTGAATACTCTATTACAATTTAAATAAAAATTATTTCAGTAGATGTTATATTTGATATATCAAACTTTTTACTTTCAAATATGATTTTTAATTAAGTGGAAAATTCATGAAAACTGCCCTGTTTTGTTCTGAATAGTATGCTTGAGTGACATACCAGTGTCCTTGTCTATCCATTTCTTGCCATATTACCTCCCAAGAAGATACATTTCCTGTGGAGAATGGGAGTCAGGAAGGATTGCTGGAGAGAGATCTACCCCATGTGGTTATTTCTGTATCAGTTCTTGTCTGGTTTCATCATACAGATGGGAGTCAGGAATTTCAAAAGAAGTAAATTTGAAACTCAGAAATAGTATCTTCCAAATATATCCAATAAGGCCAAAAAGAGATGTGTACAACTGCATGTCAGTCTTTTTAATAGAAGTATTATGATTTTATTACAATAATGTTAGAATCTCTAAGCATGGTGTCTCTCATTTATCGATTTCATATGATTGCCTTAAATTTTTATGTGTATATGTATTTTCTCACCAATTGGCAAATAGTAAGATAGCAGAAAGTTAAATGTGACTCACTTTTTAGCTTAACTTTTTATTTCCTTCAATATCATTTTAATGTGTTAATATAATACATGAAACATTAAATAAACCACTCATTTTGCTGAGGACAGACTGGCTACCACAGACTCAATGAATAAATTTGATTAGTTTTGCTAGAGCCTTAATGTAAAGTTTTTCCAATAGTAGCTATGTTTTTCATAGTACCTTCAAGCATCACATTAGATCAACTAGTTTTTTGAGTTCTTGTTCTCTGAGGCTTTTTGTGTCAGTGGTTGACCACAGAGACTATTATATAAAATATTCACTGAGTTCAGCAAATATATCATTCACTCATCAGTCATAGAACTGGTATA